AAAACACTAGAAAGCATAGGTATAAATGGAGTCTTAAAATAATAAATAGCATATCTAAAACCTTCAGCAAGCATTATATGTAATGGGGACAGGCTAGAAGCATTTCCAATAAGATCGGGGGAAAACAAGGATGTCCATTATCACCACTGTTATTCAATATTGTACTGGAAACCTTAGCTTTAGCAATAAGAGAAGAAAAAGAAATTGAAGGCATTAGAATAGGCAAAGAAGAAACAAAGCTATCACTCTTTGCAGATGACATGATGATATACTTAGAGAATCCTAGAGAATCAAGTAAAAAACTACTTGAAATAATAAACAACTTTAGCAAAGTTGCAGGCTATAAAATAAACCCACATAAATCATCAGCATTTCTATATATTACCAACAAAGCCCAACAGCAAGAGATAGAAAGAGAAATCCCATTTAAACTTACTGTAGACATTATAAAATATTTAGGAGTCTACCTCCTGAAACAAACCCAGGAACTCTATGAACACAATTACAAAACACTTTTCACACAAATAAAATCAGATCTAAATAATTGGAAAAACATCAGTTGCTCATGGGTAGGCCGAGCTAATATAATAAAAATGACAATCCTACCTAAGCTAATTTACTTATTCAGTGCCATACCAATCAAACTACCAAAAAATTATTTTATAGAGTTAGAAAAAATAATAACAAGATTCATTTGGAAAAACAAAAGGTCCAGAATATCAAAGGAACTAATGAAAAGAAATGCAGGGGAAGGTGGCCTAGCAATTCCAGATCTTAAATTGTATTATAAAGCAGCAATCATCAAAACTGCTTGGTACTGGCTAAGAAATAGGGAGGTGGATCAGTGGAATAGGTTAAATATGCAAGACACAGTAGTCAATGACTATAGTAATCTATTATTTGATAAACCCAAAGACCCCAGCTTCTGGGATAAGAACCCACTCTTTGAAAAAAACTGCTGGGAAAACTGGAAAAGAGTATGGCAGAAACTAGGCATAGACCCAAATCTCACACCATATACCAAAATAAAGTCAAAATGGGTTCATGACTTAGATATAAAGGCTGATACCATAAGTAAACTGGGAGAACAAGGAATAGTTTACCTATCAGATCTATGGAGAACAGAAGAATTCATGACCAAACAGGAGATAGAGAACATTATGAAAAGCAAAATGGATAATTTTGATTACATTAAATTGAAAAGTTTTTGCACAAACAAAGCCAATGCAACTAAGATTAGAAGGAAGGTAGAAAATTGGGAAAGAATTTTTACAACCAGTCTCTCTGATAAAGGCCTCATTTCTAAAATATAGAGAATTAAGACAAATTGATAAGAACACAAGCCATTCCCCAATTGATCAATGGTCAAAGGATATGAACAGACAGTTCTCAGATGAAGAAATTAAAGCCATCTATAGTCATATGAAAAAATGCTCTAAATCGTTATTGATTAGAGAAATGCAAATCAAAACAACTCTGAGGTACCACATCACACCTATCAGATTGGCCAACATGACAAAACAGGAAAATGATAAATGTTGGAGAAGATGTGGGAAAATTGGAACACTAATACATTGTTGGTGGAGTTGTGAAATGATCCAACCATTTTGGAGAACAATTTGGAACTATGCCCAAAGGGCTACAAAAATGTGCATACCCTTTGATCCAGCAATAGCACTTCTAGGGCTATATCCCAAAGAGATCAAACAAATGGGAAAAGGACCCACATGTACAAAAATATTCATAGCAGCTCTTTTTGTGGTGGCAAAGGACTGGAAATTGAGAGGCTGTCCATCAATTGGGGAATGGCTGAATAAGTTGTGGTATATAAATGTAATGGAATACTATTGTGCTATAAGAAATGATGAACAGGCTGACTTCAGAAAAACCTGGAAAGACTTATATGGTCTGATGCTGAGTGAAGTGAGCAGAACCAAGAGGACATTGTACACAATAACAGCCATGTTATGCAATGACTAAGATTGTTAAACTGACCCTTTCTCGGCATCATGAGGATCTAAGACATCTCCAGAGGCCTCGGATGGGAAATGCTGTCCACATCCAAAGAAAGAACTATGGAAGTCGAATCGCTATCACTTATTTTTACCTTCTGTTGAGTTTTGTTTCATCTTTCTGATGGTTCCTCCTATTGGTTTTAATTTTTACTTACAACTTCACTAATGTGAAAATGTGTTTAATGCGTATGTAAATGTAAAGCCTATATCAGATTGTGTGCCATCTTGGGGAGGGTGATGGGGAGGAAGGGGGAGAAAAATTTTCAACTCAAAAGCATATGGAAGTGATTGTTGATAAATCTAAACAAATTAATAAAAAAAATACCATAGGCAGCTAAGTGACACAGTAGACAGATTGTTGAACTTGGGAGTCGGGAAGATCTGAGTCCAAATCCTGCTTCAGACACTTGCTAACTGTGTGACCCTGGGCAAGTCATTTAACCTCTCTCTGTCTCAGTTTCCTAATCTGTAAGATGGGGACAACGATAGCACCTACCTCCCACCCAGGGTTGTTGTGAAGAATAAAGCAAAGTGTTTTGCAAATCTTTTTTTTTCTTTTTGGTGAGGCAATCAGGGCTAAGTGACTTGCCCAGGGTCACACAGCTACTAAGTGTCAAGTGTCTGAGGCCAGATTTGAACTCAGATCCTCTTGACTCCAAGGGCAAAGCTCTATCCACTGTGCCACCTAGCTGCCCCTTAATATATCAGCTGTTTTTGTTTTGTTTTGTTAGTGAGGTAATTGGGATTAAGTGACCTGACCAGGGTCACACAGCTAGTAAGTGTCAAGTGTCTAAGGTCAGATTTGAACTCAGGTCCTCCTGACTTCAGAGCTGATGCTCTATCTACTGTGCCACCTAGCTGCTCCATGCTTTGCAGATCTTAAGTGCTATATAAATGCTCACAATTCTTATTATGTCCTTATAATTATATTGAAGTTGATACTACTATATCTCCAGCTAGACTGAAACCCCTCTGGGTAGAAAAATTCTCTCTCACACTTGTCTCCATACTCTCCCAAACCCTACCACACAACTGGCCACATAGTCTGTACTCAGAAAACAAGTATTTAGGTGATAGATAATAATAATAGACTTCTGGGTCATGTGAACAACAAGACAGTGGAATATAAATATTTCCTCCAAACTTCACAACCTCTCAAATCTCCCAAAACAAAAATTATGCACCAAAGAGAAAAATAACAGTTTGCTTTTATAGGGCACACTAAAATTTGCAAAGTACTTAATACACATTATCTTAATTGGTCCTCACATCAATCCTGTGAGGTAGGTACTATTATTATTCCCATATTATAGATGGGGAAACTGAGGCTGAAACACACAACTAGTTAAATGTCTAAAGCAGGATTTGAATTCAGGTCTTCTGGGCTCCAAGGTCAATTCTCTATCCACCACAGTACCTAGGTGCTGAATAAATAAATGAACCCAAGAGAATTCCAACATGAATAATAACCTGAGTTTCTCCTGCACCTTTACAGTCAGAGTTCCTGAAGGTGAAGCTGGCACTCTCGGTAGAATTTACCTCCTTGGCAAGCTGGTGCAGTTAGAATTGGGACCCTAAAGATGGAAACTTTGGGAAGATGCAACCACATCGAGGTAGAAGGTAAATTTGGTCAAAAGAGCTATCCACAGCAAGGCTATTGGGCATATTGTTGCAAATGGAAACCAAAGTATTCATGGAAATGTTAGTATCGGCAGTTCTCCTCTAAGGCACCAAGAATGAAACTCAGAACCTCAGAGTCTCTGAGTTGGAAAAGACCCCAAAAGTCAGCTAGTCCAACCTAGACCAGAGCAGGACTCCCTTCCAATAAGTGGTCAGCAGCATCTCCTGGAAAACCTCAAGAGTTTGAGAACTCCAGGACTCCTCAGGAGTCTGTTCCAGTGCTGGATAGCTCCCAGTATAAGGAATTCCTCCTTAGATTGAGCTGAAATTTGCCTCTCTGCACCTTCCCCTCTGCCTGCCTTCTACCCGTTGTTTCTAGTTCTTCCTTCTAGGACCAATCAGAACAATTCAAATTCTTCTTCTGCATGAGACCCTTCATGGCCCTGAAAATCTTGATTATATCTTTTTCTATGTTTTCTTAGGCACTGTTCCAGAGTCAGCAACAGCCACTAAACCAGAGATACCCTTCTGCCTGAGTGTTTCTTTCTTTTATTTTATATATTTTTTTTTTCTTTTTTAGGCAATTGGGGTTAAGTGACTCACCCAGAGTCACACAGCTAGTATGTGTCAAGTGTTTGGTCTGAGGCCGGATTTGAACTCAGGTCCTCCTGACTTCAGGGCCGGTGCTCTATCTACTGCACTGCCTGAGTGTTTCTGGGCTGAAAAGATCACCTGTTTGACTTTTAAAGCCCTTCACAACCTGGACCCTTCTTACCTTTCCAGTTTTCTTATGCTTTACTCTCCCTTCCTTGCATCCCAGTATCTACTGACATTAGCTTCCTAAACACAAGATACTCCCTCTCCCAATTTTCTGTCCTTTCACCGGTTGCTCAGTACCTAGAATGTTCTCCTTCCTCATCTCGACCTGATGTCTTCTTTCTAGACTCAGCTCAAATCTCACCTTCTGTAAGATTCTTTTCCCCCTCTCCCCAATACCTACTAGGCTCTTCCCTCTGAGATACCTTCCATCTACTCTGTATATATCTAGTTATTTAGATGCTATCTCTCCCATTAGATTGTGAGCTCCTTGTGGACAAAAGATCGTGTTTCTGCTTTTTTTGGATCCTCAGCACTTATTATTATTCCTGGCACATAGTAGGTACTTAATAAATACCTGTTGTCTTCACGTCTCCCCAGACAATCCTGTGTCACCTACCAGCCCCTATCTGTCTCTCTCAGGGGCAGGCTTCTGCCCATGAAGCCTCAGAGTCTCCTGGTTTGTCCATATGATAAGTGTGGGTTAGGTTACCCATGAGTCTACACCCACCCCCATCCATTCCCCAATTTGGTTCCACTATCTCTCACCTTCACATTTCTCATTTGGGTCGGTGAAGATGCGGTGTCCAGAGGCCAGTGCAAATCCAGGGTCACAGGAACAGTAGTAATCACCTCCTGTATCTATGCACGTTGAATTACTAGGACAGGCCGTGAGGTTCAGGCATTCACCAGATGATGGAGAAGGTGTAGGGAAGTGGCCTAGATACAAGGAAACCATGAGACACTCAGGGGCAAGTGGGGTACATAGGGTTCTCCAAATTTAAGTGTGGCAATAATAATAACAAATCACATATCACAAGTCCCATGCCTGGAATACTTTCACCTCCTCATCTCTGCATCTTAGAATATTCAGGTTCCTATGCCCAAAGGGCTATAAAACCCTGCATAGCCTTTAACCTAGCAATACCACTACTAAGTCTGTATCCCAAAACAAAAAGAAAAAGGACCTCTATGTACAAAAATATTGATAGCAGCTATTTTCTGGGGGTAAAGAATTAGAAATTGAAGAAAAGCCCATCAATTGGGGAATGACTGAACAAGGTGTGGTATGTAATTATGATGGAATACTGTTATACTATGAGAAATGATGAGCAGGATGCTCTCAGAAAAACATGGAAAGACTTGCATGGGCTGAAGCAAAGTGAAATGTACTGTGTACACAGTAACAGCAATATTGTAAGATGATCAGCTGTGAATGACTTCGCTATTCTCAGCAATACAATGATCCAAGACAACTCTGAAGGACTTATGATGAAAAATGCTATCCATCCCCAGAGAAAGAACTGATGGTGTCTGAATACAGCTTGAAGCATACTTTTTTTCCTTTCTTTATTTTTCTTGAGTTTTTTTATCTATGTTTTCTTTCACAGCCTATTAGGGATATGTTTTGTGTGACTACACATGTATAACCTATATTGAATTGCTTGCCTTCTCAATGGGGAGGGAGGAAGGGAAAGAATTTAGAACTCAAAGTTTTGAAAACAAATGTTAAAAATTGGTTTTACATGTAACTGGGGAAAAATAAAATACTGAATTAAAGCTTTCTTTTAAAAAAAACCACAAAATACTCAGATTCCTGTAAGGTTCAGATCAGAGATCCCTTCTTAGGATCATAGCTGATCCTTCCCATTTCCAATGTTTCCTCCCCCTTCAAATTCATTTGCATTTAATTCACATAATCACAGAATTTCAGAGTCAGAAAGGACCTCAGTGGCCATCTAGTGACTAGAGTCTAGTCCAGCCTGAAGAAGAATCCCTTCTAAACCCTACCTGTAAAGAGGTGTTTGGATTGGAACACTTCCCCAGGAGCTGGTAATGCATGTGGGCCACTTCCAGTGACAGGTGTGCCCTGGCCCCTTATTAAAGGGTATATAAGACCAGAAGGCCCAGGTTGGTTCCCCATTATCCCCATCACTGGGAGCTCTTTTGAAGATGACAGAGGAGTGTCCACTTAGTGGGCTTTAAAAAAAAGAAACAAGATATGATCACATTCTCTTCTCCCTTTCTAAACATGTGGATTGGCAATACATTTGACTCTCTTTCCTCTCCCTTCCCAACAGTAACTATGGCAGCTACATGCCTGTAGCAGTGAGTACATGTGCTTGGCTTTTGGGTCTGAGACTATTTCAACTGCCTTTCCTGCCCTATGTTTTTTTTTTCTGTGAGCACAAGTGGCCAGATATTGATCCCAAGAGATGGATGTTTCTAGTATTGGTTATATCATGAGCTCAAGAGATACAGTCATTTAATTGAATTCTGGTTGCCCAGCAAGAAGTATTCCCTACAACTAAACCTTTCTCATAAGAGAAGATCACCTCTGCCAGAGGGGTAAGTCACGCATGTCTGGCTGACAAGTAGATACAGACTTTGAGTTGCTATTCAAACACTACAGATCGAGGTGAATGTGAAATGCCTATTCAGCAATCTTGAAAGTCTCCTGGAGGACTCTTTCCTACTTCCTAGTAGAATATAATAGGAATTAATGTTTCATATTTTAAGTATTTGTTAGTATATGCTTATGAGTCTTTTGTGTTTTAAGCATCTCTTTTGTGATGGAAGAAATAAATAACTGTCCTATATCTGTTTATCTACTACTCTGCTCATTGAGTAATTTTCCTAAAAGGATCTCTGTTAATTCCTTTTAGGAAATCCATTTGGGAAAATCCCTGAACATGAATCATACCCAAGCTTTGTTTGAGAGATTTTTCCTGGAGTTCTATTTGAGAGTGAGTGTAATAAGCCAAAGAGTGTGATAAAAGCCTAATCTCCTTTCTTTGATTCTTTCAGTGATGAGCAAGAACATTTCTAGAACAGAATGATCAAAATGGTGAGGGGGACTGAAGTTCAGGCCATCTAAAAATTAGCTAATGGAACTAGGAAAGAAAAGCTTCAGAGGGCAACATGTCTTTTAGAGGGCAAGCTGTCTAACTGAAGAAGGGTCGTCATGTAGAAAAGGTACCAAAAAGAAAAACTAGGAATGATGTGAGTCAGGTATAAAGAAGTCAATTTCAGACTCTATGGAAAGAAATGCTTGGTGACCATAAGAGCTGCCTCAAAGTGGAAGGGGCTGCTACAGGAGTTAGGGAGTTCCCCATCGCTGGAATTCTTCCAACACATGTTGGATAGATATTTGCCAGGGGTGTTGTAGAAGGGATTCTAACTCCAGTATAGACCAGACTAGGTGTCTTACATCTCAGCCTGAAATGCCACTTCCTTCATATGTTGCCCCACATCATAGATAACTCCAAACTGTCTCACCTCACTCCATTGAGCAGAAGTGTAGGAGGATATCACCTAGCAAGATCCTGAGAAACCATTCACTACCAATGAAGTTCCTAGAGAATACTGACTTTCTCTATACTCCCCAGCCCTGCCTATTCCACCACTCCCTAATTCCTAGTTGAAGGAAGCAGCTTACCTTTATACATCTGTGTCCTTATCTGGAAGTGAGATAGACCAAACCTAGGAGAATATAGAAAAGTCATTATCTGATAGCTATCAAGTCATCAACGAACACTTATTAAGTGCCTTATGTATGCCAGGCACTATACTATGTATCATCACAACAAAAACTTCAGGAAAACAGTTCTATTCTCCTCCATGTGAGATCTCAAGGGCTCAGGAACTCTCTAGTCTCCCAGAAGTGTGTGTATGTCTAGGGAGTCAGTTCATTCATTCATCCATTGATTACACAACATTGATGAAGTAACTACAGTGTTCAGAGACATAAAGTTTAGATAAGTGCATGGATGGGAGGGATTTGAGTGGAAAAGGTAGGGGAACATTAGGATTCAGTCAACCAAAAAGCATTTATTAAGCACCTACCATGAGCCAGTAACTGTACTAGGTACTGAGGATACAAACAAAATGAACCAAATAAATTCTACTATCATGGAGCCTATATTGTGAGCAAAACACAATTGATCGGGGGCTGTCCCATATTACCCAAGAGATCAGGGATGTAGAGCCAGAGGGACCTCAAAGATGATAAAATCCAATCCGTTCTTTTTATAGTACAAATGACCAAGTCCCAGGGAAGGAAAGAGACTTAATTAACATCTTACAAGTAGGAAGTAAGAGAGCCAAGTTTAACTCTGTCTTCTGACTCCAAGACGAGGTTCTTTCCACCATGCCATCCTGCCATGTGTGAAACATGGCATATACTGTCAGACTCACTTGAAGCATTTGTTGGTATAGCTGCCTTTTTTGCTTTCTTTCTTATAAGGGATGACTTGATGGGTAGGGGGGGGAAGGGATATACTCATAAATGAAGATCATAATACTAATCATAGTCAGCATTTATATAGTACTTAAAGCATGTTACACATGCTGTTTCATGTGGTCCTCACAATAGCCACATGAGGTAGATACCATTATTATCCTCATTTTTACAGAAGGGGAAACTGAGGCTGAAAGCAGAAGGTGACTTACTCTTGGTCACATAGCTAGTAAGTGCCTGAGGCAAAATCGATCAGTCAACATTTATTAAGTAGCTACTATGTGCCAGGCACTGTGCCCTAGACAATTCTGACTTGGGGTCTTCATGACTCCAAGTCCAATAGTCTAACCACAATACTGCATTAAAATATCCCTGAAAAATATTTTAAAGAGAGAGATAAACAATGAAAAAAGAAAATGGGGTCCCTTTCAACCCTGAGATTCAAAGACTATGATATTGGAGACCATCATCAAAGCATTAAATTCACTAATCACAGAGCTACAAAAGCTCACAGGCAATCTAATCCAATCCATAAGTGAACAATATTCTCATCTATAGAACGGACAGCAAATGGTTGCCAACTGGTAAGTCCTCCAGAGAGGGGGAGTCCGCTGCTTCCAGAGGCAGCCCATTATGCTTTGGAAAAGCTAGTTGTTAAGACATTCACTTTTTTTCTTTTTGTTAAGCCTAAATCTACCTCTTGGTACCTTCTCCCCACAGCCCTTCTTTTTATCCCCTGGGACCAAGTGGAGCCTGCCTTTCAAATACCTGGCTCCCTGAGCCTTCTCTTCTCTAGGCTAAACACCCCAAGTTCTTTCAACTGATCCTTATATGGAATGATATTGGGGTCCGTTTCCATAGCAGGTGCCTTCTCTGAATACTCTGCAGATTATCCATGTCCTTCCAAATCTGCCACCCAGAACTGACTGCAATACTCCAGATATTGTTTGACCAAGGAAGACTCTCAGTACTTTCAGTAGCTAGGTGGAACCATAGAGTGCTCGGCCTGGAGTCAGGAAGACTTGAGTTGAAAATCTAGCCTTAGACACTTGCTAGCCATGTAACCATGGGCAAGTTACTTAACCTCCCTTTGTCCCAGTTTCCTCAACTGTAAAATGAAGATAAAAATGGCACCTACCCACCAAGGTGAGAGGACCAGCTGAGATATTTGGAAAAGCAGTTGGCACAATGCCTTGTCTATGCTTAGCACAGGTAAGCCCAAGTAGACCCTTAATAAATCCTTCCTTCCTTCCCTAGTCCTAGACCATGCACCTCTCTTAATGCAACCTAAAAATCACGTTATCCCTTGACTGGTTCCATCTTCAGCTAGCTTTGGATGATTGCTGAGCCTGGTTTGGGGGGTAAGAGAAGCTCATGGAACATGGGAGCTGGCCTAGACAGAAGTAGCAAGAGCTCTCTTTTTTTTTGTGGAAGAAGGGTTAGCTTTATTCTATTTATTTCAGAGGGTAGAGCTAGAAACAATTAAAGGAATTTGTGGAATGGGTAGAACTGAAGTAAAAATTTCCTCATAAATTAGAGCTGTCCCAAAGTGCAACAGTTGCCTTGAGAAACAGTTGACCTGATTCCTCTGACAGAATACAAGATCCTCTTTTCATTTCACGGTCTTTGCATCCCCAGTGTCTGGCAAATAAAAGGTGCTTCACAAATTCTCCTTATTGATTGACATATAAGCATACGAGAGAGATGCAAGTGAGATATTGTATGAAGTCCAAGGCGTAAAAGGCCTTTACCAAGCAAGCATTTGTGGAGACGTTCATTCCTCTCAGACAAAATGGCCAGGTCTTGGGATGATACTTCTTCATACTCTTAACTCTTATTTTTACATGTGATGACTGTGGTCAATCTCCTATTAGGTGGAAATGACCCTAACATCTTATTAAAAAAAAAAAACTCTTTTACCTTAAACACCTTGGCGAATTGTAGTGATGTATGACTTTTCTAGGTGTACCATTAGACAACTGTGGTATGATTAACTTGTTCTTTCATAATTTCAAAACTTTCTTTTCACCTTTAAAGTTGCTTTTCTATTTGTGTTTTAGATAGGACCTGGGCTTTTACTTGTATAGGAAATTTCAATTAAGGCAGCTGTTCCCATGCAGTTCAACCTATGGTCTGCATTTTCAATCTTGGAATATTCCTACATTGGGTGATATATTTTACTAACAAAAGAATTATCTTTGAAACATCCCTGGTAAATGGTCACTTGCTCTGTTTGCATAGTTCTAATGACAGGGAACTTGTTACCTTGTGAAACATCCATTTTTGGACAGGTTTGTTTGTAAGAAAATTCTTCCACACACACACACACACACACATACATATGTTTAGTGAGGCAATTGGGGTTAAGTGACTTTCCCAGAGTCACACAGTTAGTAAGTGTTATATGTCTGGGGACAGATTTGAACTCAGGTCCTCCTGGACTCTGGGGCCAATTTTCTATCCACTGTGTCACTTAGCTGCCCTCAAAATATTTTATATCGTTTTAGAGTTTTACAGTGGTGATTTGCTTTTATGACTTTTTAACAATTTCTGTGATTCTCAATCCTTCAATTTAGCACAACAAACAAATGTTTACATGTTTTCTGTGGTTAGAGTGGTGTATTAAGCTCTGCAAGAGAGAAACAGAGGGTTTTTTTTGGTTTGTTTGTTTGTGTGAGGCAATTGGGGCTAAGTGACTTGCCCAGGGTCACCCAGGTAATAAGTGTCCAATGTCTGAGGCCATATTTGAACCCCAGTCCTCCTGACTCCAGAGCTGGTGCTCTATCCACTGTACCACCTAGCTGCCCCAATTCTTCTTCATAGTAAGCTGAAATCTTCCTTCTGCCTCACCACTTATTCCTAGTTTTTCTTTCCAGACCATCCTTCCCCAACTCTGCACAAATGCCATTTTCACTTTCCACAGGATCATGCTTCGGCTCTATGAAAGTAGCAATCATGTTTCCCCTTCTTCGCTTCTTCTCCAGACTCAACATCTGTAGGGGCTTCAATCATCCTTTTTGGAAATGATTTCTAGATCCTTTATACTTTCGAACAACACAGAACAGGTGGCTATTTATGGAGTGCCTGTTCAGACAGTTGGTTGATCTTAATCCCATTTCTGGTACTTAGGAATTTGGGACTTCTCCAATCAATTAACCTTGCAAGCAAGGTCCATGTTCTTTGAGGCTTTCAGATGAATTGATTCAGGCTGCTTGGCTGGTGTCAAGGATCTGAAGTTTATTTGCTGACCTGTATGATATACTGCTGAATCCTCTACTGAGCTGTGGTTATAATCTTCAAGGTCCAATTCCAGACTGGGATGTGGCGGTAGAGGTGGTGGGATGTCACTCTCAGCCCAGTTAGCATCGGGGAATAGCAGTTCTCTAATCGAAAATGCATTTCCCCAGGATTTGCATAAGAGATAATGCAGACATACACTTGCAAATGTAAACCTAAATATCCTAATATATTTTTATAAGGGTGACCTAGCAGTATACACAGCACTAGCAAGTTCAAAAATGATGACAGTTCTGTTCATGGCACTGACTGTGACTTGTTTACATGACCTAAGGAAAATGAGGTCAATGACTCAGTTTTTCTACTTGTAAAAAGATGACAAGTATTAACTGCCTCCTTAAAAGCCTTTGTAAGAAAAAAACAACCATGTTAAACCAATTTTACAAGCGTATCTCTTTCTATCTAATGAGAGGACTGAAACAATTCTTCCTGGGAGGAAAAGGAAACTGATGAATGCAGACTTGGAAATGCTTGAACCAGAGGGTTTCTGACTGTTGGGAGCAAGTGGGGTCTCCTGCTCTGCTACCAGATAGAATAGACAATTCCTACTTCTGCCTTGGTATGGCAATTGGGCAGGAAGGGGTGGGGGTGGGGATGGGGGTGAGGAAGACTGTATTAGTCAGGGGCTGTCACACCCAAATGGATAAGGTCTTAGATAACTGGTCCACACCACCACCAGCATCTCTGCAGTCACTGGTTCTCATGGTGCCTTTGGATGTAGTCACTGGGGCTGCATGCAGGTCACATGTAACCTGCATGGCCGCTTCTCAGCATAAAGGTCTGCCCTCTGTTTGAGCTCTATGCCTCCCTCTTTTCTATCTTATTTCTTCTCCCTAGAAATCTTTGCTAACCAATTACAGGGCCATACACCTATGCAAAGCCTCTGGAGTTTTCTCCCAAACAGCTGGTGCTGTGCATTCTGGGAATCTGAGTCTCTGAAAGCAGG